AAAATGTTTAAAACTCCATCACAGGAAATATTTACCCCATTATTTTTTTTTCTTTTTTTTTTTTAGAATTTAGTTTAAGTCAAATTGATCTGAAGCAATATTATCATTAAAAGGTCGTCTGGTAGCCTAAACATGGCTGGTCTCAGAGCTCCTTGTGGACGTGTCTGTGACTGCTGCCGTCACATTTGGCCAAGATAATCAAGAGCAGGAGAAAAGTGACTGTGTGAACATTTAAAGAATGACGCATCTTAATTTTAAAGGGCATCATTACCGGAATAGTGACCTTTTGAGGTATATTACGTGGGGTTCCTTGTTTTGCTCCGAGTACATGCTAAGATCCACATTGTGGTTTACAGAGTGCTTTGGATGCATTAGAGGAAGCAAAGCGGAGGGGATGCAACGAGCCTTCAGTTCGTGTCGGATTCGCCTGCCGAGCTCAAAGCAGAATGCTGTTCCTCTGGCATTAACTTTCAGCTCAATCATGTTCTTGTAAGACCCGCTTTTCACAGGCCACTGGGCCATGCTGGGAGCCATGAAAGTGACGAAAGATGGAAAATACGAGGAGCGAAGAGAGGGGGTGGGGGGAAACAGGCGAGACGTTGTGAGATCTAATGAAAAGGCATAAAGAGGAGATTGTGGGGAGCTAAGAGGGTTTAGATAATGAGAGTGCAAATCAGAGGGACAAGAGAGGGAAGGAGAGCGAGGCAGAGAGGGGGAAAAAACGCAGATCTAGGTCAGAGAGAAGCAACACTGTCAACGAACTAGTGGAGGAAAGGATGGGCTGGCCTGTGAGATTTAATACCGACTGGTCTGAATGGGATAGATCAGAGCAAGCGGGCCACCCCTATGAGAAAACGCAAAAAGGATGACGGTGTTAAGTGTGAAATCCATTTCATAATTCATTATTAGAGCTGCATCCATCCTCATTTCTTATTTAAGGAATCGCATAAATAAATGTATGACAATATATATCCACAAGGAGCTTTTAGCATCTCGGGTTTTTGGTGATTTGAAGTCGTCCTCATTTTAAGGGATGGAAATTAGCAAATTGAGGTTTAGTTTTTAAAATGATCACTAGGTAGTAGGATTTTCCAGTGTTCTGCTGACGCTCGTTCGGTCGCGGTGTCGTGCCAGCAGAAACACCTTGTGTGAGGTTGAGGTTGTGTAAGCAAAATCTACCAAAGCATCTTAATCAATTAACTGCTACTCTATTATTCCCATGTTATTCCATTTTTTTTAATAGTTAGTATGTTGAGTTTACTGGTATGAAAAAATCAGCAAATATACTAAAGGAGTGTTTTTCTTGTGTGTGTGACTGAGTCTGTAATTTTTTCCACTGCTCCAGCTGTTGCCAGTTTCAACGATCCTTTCTGAGCGTCGACGGCGAGACAATATTTCTCTGTGAATCTGTCTGGTCTGTTATTGAAAAAGTAATTTTTTCTACGGACCCCACTCTGAAAAAGTTCTCAAATTTGGGCCATTTTTAAATGAATCTGTTTGGAAAGACAAGTTACCAATGTCGAATTGAACTTTTTCAATTGCATGAATTGAAAAAGTTCATGCAATTGCCCTCATGCTAGTGCCCTGTCCAAGCGATTATCGTCAGGGGAAGTTGTAGTTTGCTTAATGTTGTTGTTTTTTTTTTTTTCTACAACAGGTTACAGAGAAAGTCGCACCCCTGACTTACACTCAGACTCCTGAACACAACGTGTTGCTGTTGAGAAAATGTTGCAAGAATTGAAGCAAAGGACAAATCAATGGAAAGCTCTCTTTCCAAACCTGAATGAAAACAAATATGTATCTTCATGTTGGAATCCATTTGGGTGGATGGTAGCTAAAGCAATATGGTTGGTATTAATGCCATGTCATTGCTAACTCTACAAGAAAGCCATTTTCTACAAGGATCTAATAAACTCTAATCAAGTTTAAACGCAAACTTGATTAAAGTGGTGCGTTTGCCACTGCCGAAATATGTGCTGAGTCCGTTTTAGTTGGTTTAGGTCTGTCAATAAAATCTCTGGCAGTTGTGAGCGGTTGACGTCTGCTGAAGGGCGGATTCCTTCACCAAGACAAGCTGGCGGATAGAAAGGCATGGGAACACAGAGAACTGGTTCGATGAACTTCCCGACAGGGTGCCAAACATTTAATTGGCTCTTACCACTGACAATATAATGACAGATTGATTGAACACCTTTTAAAAATAAGGTGCAGGTACAATGGCTGCACAGAGGCAGCCACACCAAGAAAACAACAAATGCAATAAACGGGAACACGGAGGACAAAGTCGGGTCACAACAACCCCAGTGGTTAATATCATTGTTAAACAATACTGTCATAGAAAGGAGTGGCTACGTGTGTATTGGGAAGTCTGTATGGGATCATTTGAAGGTGTAGACTTATTTTTTTGAAGAACTGTTTCTGTAGATGCCAAGCTAGTTTGTGCACGTGGAGTAGAACCTGCTCATCTGATCTGGAAACTATGATGTGTATTTGTATTTTACCCTCCTTATTTGTTCTTAGTTAGAACCATCTTTGGCTGCAAATGCAGATCCAAGTGGTTCCACAAGGATGTAAATATTTGCCGATTTTGCTTTACGGAATAATTTCACACAAAAACACTCGTAAGAGAACGAATCCCTTTGTATCTGCGAGTATCAGGTTTGGAGTCTTGCCTCCTGTTCTTAACTGAATTTACCTCAGGATATTGATTGGACCCATTCATATGCGTGATCTGAACCGACACATTGGAGCTCTGGCTGTTGTTTAGGGTCGTCGTACAGCTGGAAAGTGAACATCCACACTGGTTTCCAGTCTAAAAGGGTTTCCTTTAGTTCCATCAGTCTTTCTGATGACTGATCGATTTTTCCTGTTTCTGCTGGGAAAAACTCCCCAAAACATCCAAACAGCCTGTTGATGTCACCACCACCAAGCTTAAGGGTTTGCAGGGTGCATTCAGGATGATGTATAATACATTTTGTGCCACTAACAGCCAAAAGTTTTAACTTTTATATAATCTATTAGAGCAGTGTCCTCCATGTTTGCTGTTTGATTTACATGGTAAACTGTTAATGGGACTTTTCATGGCTTTCCATCAGAAATAAGTTTATTCTTGCTACTCTTGCATAAGGACCTTTTTTCTTAACAGATTATGGACTAAACGGTGCTCTGTAAAATGCCCAAAGTGGCTATTATTTCTGTGAATGGGGCTGAATGTACTGTGCGTGTGTTTTTTTAAACACTGAGAACTGTGCAATAGTTTCACTTCGCTTCACAGTTATATACAGTCTTGTCACATAAAATCTTCATAAAACATTGAGATTTCTTAATGAGGCAAGATTTTTCGCAGGGCACCATAACGCAGCTACATCATCCTCTTAAATTAACTGGCTTGGAAATGCTATTTTAGTGCACCCCAGTCTCATTTTCAAATTTGCAAATAAATCAGGAGGAAGAGGGCAAAGACCGCAGTGAAGATAACGACGAGCAGACTGTGCTAATTTCTTTCTGATCCTCCTTTCCAAAACGGTCATTTAATAAGCCTGGATGACATTATTGCTCCTGGAGGAGAGACAGCGAGACGCAAAGGGAGGACGGCCGTCAGCTGGTTCAGATAAATGAATTTCTAGCTTGGTCCGATAATATCCGTGTCTCATATCTGTTTGACACATTCACTATTTCCCGCTCCCGTGGCCTTACTTTGACCTAATCAGTCATCCTCTCACCTACCTCTCCCCCTATTATGTGTGGGAGTTGTAAAGAGTTGTTCTTTCTGTGAGAACGATGGAAAGATAGGACGTCTTTTTTTTCTGCTTTCTGTGTGTCTGTAAGTGTTTGAGTTTCTGATTTGTAAGTGGCTCTAATTCTTTTGTTGGTTTTTTGAACAAAGCCGGTCCTTGTGCTTGTGGAATTGGGGCAGACTGATCCTAATGAGAAATCCCTGGTCAATCTCCCCAACTCTTTCACTCGCACAAAATCCGAACTGTGTTTTTTTTTTTTTTTTTTTTTTTTTTATTCTTGTGTGTGTGTGTGTGTGTGTGTGTGTGCATGTCTTGGTGTGAGAGCGGCTGATCACAGTGTTCAGCCACCCAGTGGTGCTCAGTTTGACGGTTAGCAGCAAAATTACCATTGTAAAAATTAAATCAACAAATTTAACCGTGGAGCTATTTAGTGGGGATTTTTCTCTTTTTAAATAAAAGTTGTTTGGTCAGTTAACACATTTCTCTCAAAGACTGGGAAAACATGAAATCGGGTGAAAACAATACGAGGTTCTCTCTGCAGCCAGTGTCTGCTGTAACTTTTCACTGTAATTTGGCGTCGTCGTAGCTACGACCAGTCGATCAAAGTCTTTTTGATGTACCGTACAGGCAGCTAACTCATAATGCTAACTTGTTTATTATGAATTGAAATGCCCGTGTTCTTGCTCCCAGTCTGTTGCTATGGATTTGTTTCTTTGTTGTCCGGTTGCCAAGTCGCACTGACCAGCCTATAGGATGCTTCGTACTTCAAGTGGAGGGAATAACCAACAGTGGTTTTAGTGTCTGTACTTTCTCCATTAGTTAATCACAGCCACACATGCTCCATGTGCAAATGATCCTCTTTGTCATTTCCACTTTTGCTCTTTGTTCCCTTATTTCTTTAACATCTCCAGGCTTAGCCTTACATTACCATTTTTGGTATTGTAAGGGTATTTTACACCTCAGTCACACAGCTGGAAACCTCTAAATCTTCTTCTATAAGATAAGACTTATAAAAATCTATAAAGCTTAAAGCATTCACTCTCATGTATGGGGATCCATAATAATAGTTTGAAATTGCAATGGCAGCACTTTGTGAGATAGATATCAATTTGATGGAAAATATTGTTTTAATGTCGTTACACCCCATCCTGAAGTGAAGCATGCTGTTTTTGTCCTCAGAAAACATTCACATCGACTCATGTTTCTTCTCTTTTCTCTTTTTCGCTCCATCTTCTCCTGCGTCTTTCCCTTTCTGCTTCCCAGGGTCGCCATATTAGGACAGGGCAGTTGGCAGCCATCAAGGTCATGGATGTCGCTACGGTAAGACACACGAATGCACGCTCCCACATATTCATACACATTAAATCCGTCTCGAGCTTTTACACCAAAGTGAACCATACCGCCTAATTAAGAGCGATGAGTCACAGCTTGTGCGTGTGCGTAAGGCGGGGGAGATGAAACGAGGATGGGCCCATCGCCATGGCAATATCAGCTGGAATGATTAGGAGACGAGTGTGGTCTCAGGCATGTCTGTAAAGCAGGAGGGAACCTCGGCTATTTTTAGAAACCCTCACACCCCACGCATCCCTGTTAGCACTCAGTTGCCGGCAAACAATGGAAAAAACAAACAAACCAGGAATTAAGTACTGTGACATCCTATGAGTGAATAACGCAATAGAAGCTTTGCCAAACCTGCAGGATGTCGACTGCTCCAACGGAAAATGAAAAGGCAGTTTGCATTTAAACTAGCACAAATAAATAAGAGAAATTACAGCTAATTTTTTTTTTTTTTAATACAAGAGACTATAAACATTTTATCTAATTAACAGCCACCACAACAACTTGTTTCAAACAACAGCCTCTGGCACTGTGACAGGATCCCCCTGGAAGTGGAAGTAATTAAAGAGTAATGTTGTTAGTGTGGATAATTTAGAGGCCAGCTGCGCACACCGAAGCGTCGGTTTGCGTTCATGTATTTATTTTAAAGATTTTAACAAGATTCAGAATGATGATTAAAGATCAGCCGGGAGTGAAAGGCCTTAGGTTTTAAATGTTATATTTCTGCTATTGCAGGACGAGGAGGACGAGATCAAGTCTGAAATCAACATGCTGAAGAAGTACAGCAATCACAGGAACATCGCCACTTACTTTGGAGTATTCGTCAAGAAGCAACCTCCTGGCATCGACGACCAGCTTTGGGTAGGACACCTTTTTTTTTTAATGTAATGAATGTCTTTTTTTTTTTTTTTTTTTTTAAGTTTTAAGCTATTTTTATCACTTGTCGAACACATTTTTTGGCAGCCCTGGCAAAGATGACTTGAAAGGATTAGAAGAAAGACAATTTTTTCCCCTCCTGGACTGAAAATGGAAAAAAAAATCCAGCCTTTTTGTTTGAGTGGTGGAAGAGAAATCCCACATAAAGGAAAAATCTTTTAACAAAACCACAAGTGTCGATATTTTGTGCGTTCCCTATTGCCAACAGGGCAACACTTCATGTATTCCTTTTACATTTGAGGAAGTTGGAGTATACAGAAAACCCCCCAAAAATATTTTCCTTGCTCTTTGCACAGTCTAGGTCGAGATCATCCAGCGTCTTGTTTCTTGTGTTGTACTTTCTTTTCTTTAGCTCCCCCCAGAGGTTCTCCAGAAGTGGACATGAGCTTTTCCACACAATAATCAATTGTGCTATGTCAGATGTACAAGGAGTGTTTAACAAAAAGCTCAATATTAGTCTCATTTTAGTAAAATCACATGGTTCCAGTTTAAATGATCAGACTTTTGCAAACTCTACAAGTTTATGCTCGTCACCGTCCTGCTCCCTCTTTGTTGTGGCAAGGTCAATGTTGGTCCTAATTTGGCCTTTTGCCCAGTAGCTAGAACAAATGGGTCTCTGTGTCAGGAGTGCACTGTGATCGACAAAAAAGTTACATGTTAGATAAAGAAAATGCTTCAGTTGTATTTATCTTAAATTGTTTGGTATAACTAGTGACGGTAAAAACTTTGCCTCCCGTCATCAAATTATGCAGATTTTGTCACTTATACCTTTTAAATCCTAAAAAAGGAGAGAACACATTGGCTTTAGGTTTGCATCCACTGGGATGCCTGCACACAGCTTATGCATTAGTGGCATAAGTAATGAGCCTGGATCTGCATCGGATCATATACTAACGTAATCTCTTCAGTAACTCTGTTCGGCCCGGTCACGTTGTATTTCTCGGAGTGCAGTGGCGGCACGAACTCATACGTGGACAAATAGATTCGCACAGAACAGCCAAACCTGCTCTCTGTATATCTCTCCCTGATAACAGTCACAAGTGTGTGTTGTTCTGTTCGCGCCTGTGAGTGTGTGGCTGTGCTGTGTCTCGGTAAATGCCCGCATCCTGGGCAAGAGCAGGCCGGCCGCTTCACGCGCACTGCCTCTCCTCCTCTGAACAAGAGGGCCGATAAGAGGGAAGCTTGAAGCCGAGCCAGGATTCACAAACCGAACTTCGGTTCACCGGTCTCCATGGATGCAGCACAGAGATGAAAGAATAGAAAGGGAAAAGGGGGTGGAGGGTGTTTGGCTACTTTTTCTCTTGCGTATTTATTCCCTCTTCGTGAAGGTTGTTTCCTTTTTTTTATTAATTAGACAAATTTATTTCCTAAATGTGGTAGACGAGCGTTATTCAAACAAAAAAAGTTTTGTGTTCAGTTACATCAAGATATAACTGAATTGAAAAAATATATTCTTATTGCTCATTTCTTCTTCTTCTCTTTTTTTTTTTTACATCTTTCAATTATTATTTTAATTTTATATTGAGTGGGATGTTTCTACTGAACAACTTTACTTACTGTGGACTCTGATATTCACAGAGTTTAGGGCCCACAACCCCCACTGAACAGTTAAAATACACAAATACATGAGATTTTCTCTAAAAAATGCTTAGAACTGCCTATTTTAATAGTTCAAACACCAGATATACCTTAATATGCATTAACATGCGCAGTAGAAACCGTCTTGGCTCTACCACAGAAGCCAACATCTGCGTTTGGGTTACAGCCGATCAGCGTCGAGGATCGTGAACATTCCTATATGATATTAGTCTATGTACCTTGGTGAATATCCTGCAGTCTGATGCTTTTAGCTTGGCGATTGTATTTTTGAAAAAAAAAAAAAAAGCTTAACTCAATAAAAGTGATAGATTATGGTAGACAGCTGACTGTCTGGGTACACCAATAGGTAGGGAGATGCCAGAGACGAATTACTCTGTGCTCAGAACAGCCGGAGAACGCTCCAGTGTCTCCAGCGCTCTCTGGCGTCCCGTTACAATGACTTTACATCAGATGACAAACATTTTCTAGCACTTTTGAAAACCGTAACTGGATCTCTTTATTTAGGATTTTCTTAAAACCAACTCCTTTAAAAAAAAAAAAAAACATTAATTTATTTTTTTTTCCTGTCGGTTCTTCACACCGTTTAACTTGGCACATAAAGCGAATAAGATCCAAGTGAGGGAGATCTTTTTGCACAGTGAAAAGATCCCGTTACAGTCTGAATCAAGACATTATCCTGCTTCTGTTGCTGTTTTTCGCTTATGGCTCCAATGAGGCAGCTTATGCTTGCAGTTTATGTTTTGCCTGTGGGAATGTGTGGAGAAACCGGTTGTTCAGAGATGCTTTTCAACCACACAAACATTAAGTAAGCGGCGCCGAACAAAACTACAAGCAAGGGCACAGAATGTACTTAATTATTCTGTTTATCTATCGGCTATGCACATGTTATCACATAATACTGTGTTGTTATTTGGGGGGGAGGGAGGCTGCAACTGTGACAGTCGAAAAAGCCAATGCTGTACGCTGTGACCAATGTAGAACCAGCAGTTCTACATCATGTATGTATCTGGGCTACTGAAGGAAACCCACTGAGACGCTGTTGAACATGCAATCTATGACGGGGACAACCGCAGTGCTGGCAGTCGAGTCTTTCATGTTTTTTTTTTCTTGCCAGTGAGCTAAAAATATTTTTCCAGCTAAAAATATGTGCCGCAACTATAAAACGTTTGCTGCAAATTGTTGGGAAAACATGCCAACGCATTTGCGGCTGTTCCATTTTGGCGCCGGCGTTGTAAGTTTCGAGTGGCTCGAGCAAATTGGTGATTAGTGTAATAAGCACGTTTTAATAATTCCGTTTGAAATCAGTCGCACACCCGTGACTTGTTGTTTCTTGGTCTTGCTACCGCCTGAAGTTTTTTTTTTTTTTTTTTACAGGTATTTCAGGCTCTTCTGGAACAATTCTAGACAAGACTGCCTTCTTCAGCAGAGCAAGCAGTTAAAAAAAAATCAAAACAATGTGTTGTGTATTTTAGCTCGTCATGGAGTTCTGTGGAGCTGGCTCGGTGACAGACCTGATCAAAAACACCAAGGGCAACTCGCTAAAGGAGGACTGGAACGCTTACATCTGCAGAGAGATTCTCAGGGTGAGTTCCAAATCACACCCTCTACTTTGTTTTTTTTTTAAGGGTAAATAAGCACCTCCCCCTACACCTGAAAGAATCACGGCATTGTCACAAAGTCACTGTTAACGGGTATTAATCACGGTTCAGTTGCATTTCTCTGTAAAACACAAATTGGGAGACGTCTTTACTACAAAGATATGAGTTCAGGCTGCATCTCTGTCTCTTTGTTTGTCAGCAGTGCTCTGACAAATGGCTGCGCATTGACAATTTCATGGTCCAACACACTTCAATCGAGGCTTTTATAAAACTTAGTAGCATACTGAAGATGTAACTAAATCATTTGATTCAGGTGTGCTGGACCAGGAATGCACCTAAAACCTGCAGGACAGTAGATCTCGAGAACTTAGTTTTGAGACCCATGAGGTAGATGGTGGAAAACTAACACTGCAGGTCAGCCTGAGTGCACCGTCCCATCTGTGGAACATGGTCGTGGAAGCATTGGGCTGTGGGGACGCTTTATTTTTTGGCAATATCAGAATCGGTTGCATTTCATGGGAAGCTAGGTGGAGATAAATGCAGAGAAATCCAGGATCAAAATCTGTCAGAGGCAGCAAAAGACGTCAAGGTAGGTCCGTCCAACAGGACTGCAACCATAAAACTGAATCCAGAAACACGATGAATATCCCAGTCAGAGTCCAGACCCTATTTCAGTTGGGAAGTCGTCATCGAACCTCACTGTGCTTGAGATATTTTTGCAAAGAATGGGCAACCATGTTGACATGTTCATATCCATAGATATTTTCCCTTCACCTTTACAAAAATAGACATCTTTGTTTTGGTTTGACACATGAAGTCCCAATAATATGTTGAAGAGGTTGTGATATGATAAACAATGAAAAAAGTTCAAGGTGTATGAATATTTCTCAAGAAACTAAAAGCATATTAAATAGCTTTTTGTGATACTTTATCAATTTTTCCATCTCTCTACAGTTTTATCTTTTTTTAAAAACACATTTGTGTCGTTTTCTAAATACGTTGCATAGCTGCGTTTACCCAATTAATCACAGTTTTTTTTTTTTTTGTGTGGAGATTCCTCTTGAAATGTAAAAAAAAAAAAAGAGCCTGTGCAGGTCAGAGGCTTCGGGTCAGCCAAAGAGCAGCCTCGCCCGGGGGGGTTACTGAAGGACACCTCCCTGTTTAGCCCTGAGCTCTTTCTTGAATAATAATTACAACTTGGCTCCGTTTCCTTCACGGCTCATATCTGTCTGCGTCTGCAGGGCTTGGCTCATCTGCATCACCACAAGGTCATCCACAGAGACATCAAAGGACAGAACGTGCTGCTGACTGAGAACGCCGAGGTCAAGCTAGGTGAGCCGGTCCCCACCTACTCCACTAAATGGCTTCGCGTTTGGCGGCGCGGCGCGGTGTATGAGATTTCATGCTCGCCTGACTTTTGTGGCTTTTCTTTCCATTTTCAGCTTAGTCATCTGTTTGTGGCTGTCACGCTGTTCAAGATGCAAAACGCTGAAGAAGGGAATCTCTCTCTGTCTTTCTCCTCAGATTTTGTTGCTATGTATTTTTAGATTGGTCGACGTTATTGCAGGTTGTGTTATTCATACAGATTTGGAGTCTTGTATTGAAGTTTTTTGTGCGTGCGTGTGTGCATGTGTTTGCAGTGGATTTTGGCGTTTCGGCACAGATGGACAGAACGGTGGGAAAGAGGAACACATTTATTGGGACACCGTACTGGATGGCGCCAGAGGTTATTGCCTGTGATGAAAACCCTGAAGCCACCTACGACTGCAAGGTAAAAACTGCCTTCACCTGAGGATGCCTTATACATACATTTATACATATTGAGATTTTGATCACCCTGAGTGTGCACGCTTCCTCCATTGCAGAGTGATTTATGGTCCCTGGGGATCACAGCGATGGAGATGGCTGAAGGAGCGCCTCGTAAGTGCCCAATCAATACCCCACATCTCTGTCGCTGCTTTTTTTTTTTTTTTTTTTTACGGCTTCAGTGGGATATTTTAATCAGGAGGCAGATTGTTTGCTCGAATGCGTAATGCCGTCGATTGAAAAAAGGCTTGGATTTTTGGATTAGATGTCTGATATTTGGACTGATGTCCGTTCTACCTCTTTTTTAATTCATGTTTTCATTCCTCAGAGGTGCACAGTTGTTAAAATTGGCGACAGTTGTTTTCACTTTCGTACAACTGAGGCATGCTGGATGTTTTATTCCCATTAAACATCTGAGCCAGTTAAGGTTGGATCCATTTTGTCTTGACTGCGACAGCAGCCAAAAACCGTTTCTTCAGAGGAAACTGATTGCTTTAAGGTTTGTGGCAGTGGTAGCTTAAAATAAGCATGAATAAAATCATCGTTGTTTTTTTTTTTTTTTTTTTTTTTTTTTTTCAAAAAAAACCGCTCCCCCCGGTAAAATTTTATTCACGAAATATTTTTTGTTTTTTTTTATTTTTACT